AGAAGCAGAGAGCATGGTGGCGATGGTTACCGAAGTACAGTCGTGTCATTTCCCATTAGGAAGGAGGACCTTTAGGAGACGAATGGTCCGAAGCGTCGCGCGCGAAGCCGTCTATCGGATGCTTAAGGAAATGAAAGCGTGTCCGGCCGAGGAAGACTGTGTGCCCGCCAGGGAGGCCTTCTAAGTCCAGGATGATGGGGTACCTCCTTTAAGAGACAAACGGCCCAGCCTGTACTGGGGACGCCTACGCTGGCATACGGAACGAGTCGTTCAAGTGAAGGGGTTGCTAGGAGAAGTCTGGACCGTTCTTGAGAAATGAGCCGAACGGTATTTCGAAGGAAATACGGACCATATTTGGCAAAAGCTGGTTGACCGAACGGGAAAGAAGCCTACGCTGGGTGGAGGTCGAAGTCGACGCCGACGCCGACGGCAACGGCGCGGACGTGGCGCGGTATGTTTCGACTGTTCTTCCCTATACAGGAACGATGTTGAAGCTTTGAACGACTTTAAGTTTCGACAAGAGAAGGACAAAAATGCCACTTTGCCTCCCCTCACAGTACAAAGCGATCAAACCATTCCCAAGGTAGGCGGTAACTCAGCGGCACCCTCCACTAGCGCGATATCATTGTCTCTCCAGTTTCCGACGACATTAGCCACCACTAGCGCTTGGCCACGAGGAGGTAACCGTACTGACGAGGTCATTTGTAGCCATGTAGACGTCACGCACGACGGTCATCCCAAGCGGATGCACTTCTCCAGTGTCCTTAAGCGTCAAAGTCCTTTCCGCCACATCGATCAGGGCGCTGAAAGCTCCTAACGCGTCGACTCCCAGGATAGCGTCCACATATAGCTTGTCGGCTACTACCATCTTCACAGAGACTTCTTTCGATCCCAATCGGATGGGCAGATCGATCCCCCCACGGACGCGCAGTTGCTGACTAGACGAGCTGCTAACTTTACCGTCATACGGCGGTAGGATCTCCGGACCCGTCCTAACCGCTTCAGAAATCGCCTATCAATGAGGCGAAGCGTCGCGCCAGTGTCTGCAAGCATTTGCGACTGTAGGCAGTTGATATACCCTCCAGAGAGAGCCTCAAAGCTGCCGACAGCGCAAACAACACGTCGCCCTCCTTGTACCACTCGTGGTATCGACGGTCTTTCTTCATCTTCATTATCACGAAAGCCAAATCCATCGGACAACACAACCGTGACTGTCCTTAACCCACGCTTAGGGGGAGGATCAGGAGGCGTCCGTTTGGGGAGCACTATATGTACTTAGTGAGATTGTTGAAGTCTGCAGCACGTCAACGGATGAGTGCTGTATCCGGAAAGGAACGGTTGTCGTGTCTGCCTCTATCGTGCCGGGGTCGGCATTTAATTACGAAGACCCGCCCGGAGAAGAAGGGCCCCAAAGCAAGAGCGTGCCTTCCGAAGGCGTAGAGAGCTCCGTGGCGATGTCATTCACCGGAGGGCTTGGAGAAGGGGTCTGTGGCGAGGCGAGGGCTTCCAAGCCTGACGTCCCGCCGGACAAAAACGTTGGCGCGACGGCGGACTTCTCTGAGTCTGACTTATCCGAAGAGCAGAAGTCACAGTTCTGGTCGGAGCTGAACGGCTTCTATGACATTTTCGTGGAGTCATCGATGAAGTCTGGTCGAACGGAGCTGCTGTACTTTAAAGTCGACAGGTAACATTCCCCCGATCAAGCAGCAGCCGTACCGAGTGTCATTAGATTGACGGAGAAGTGATGGAGGAAGAGATTCAGCAGTATCTGGAGAACAAATTCATCTGTCCTTCGAACAGTCCGTGGGCCAGTCCGGTTCTGATGATTTGCAAGCCGAACGGAGGAATCGAGTCCTGTATCGATTACCGGAGACTGAACGCGGTGACCGTGAAAGATTGTTATCCTATGCCTTTGGTCGATGATATCCTCGACGTCCTGGGGGATGCAAATTTGTTCTCGACTATGGACATTGCGTCTGGCTACAGGAATACTCCCATGGACAAGGACAGTATTTCTAAAACTGTTTTCACGTGCAAGTACGATCTGTACGAGTGGCTAGCGATGTCGTTTAGTCTTTGTAATGCTGTACCCGCGTTTGAACGGTTGATGATGGCGGGCTTAGTGGACGTAAGTGGCGCATTTGCTTGGTCTACCTGGATGACTGTGTAAACTTCAGCAAGAACTTTCCGACGCATTTAGTGCGTGTAAAACAGGCACTCACGAGGTTCTGCGATCCGATCGTTCTTGGGACTGATGAGGTATTTCCGTCGTTATATTCCGGGATACGCCTCGATTTCGGCGCCCCTGGAACGGTTGAAGGTGAAAGATGCGCCATTTGCGTGGAAGGATGACTGTGAGGCGGCCTACCGCCAGCTCAAGCGAGCGTTAATGAAGCCTCCGATTTTAGTCTACTCGGATGTCAAGAGACGTTTCAAACTTTACGTGGGCTCGTCCCGATACGCTGTCGGAGCCTGTCTGATGCAGGAAGTAGACGGTCGAGACGGTGTAGTGGCGTACGCTAGTAAGTTGTTGACAGGGTCCTAGAAAAACTGGATCAACAAGCAAGTATGGATCTTAGAGATCGAGTCTTGGGGGGTTGTATGGTCGACAAGGAGGTTTCGCTGCTACTTGGACAAGCGAAAGCTCGACTTGTACACGGATCATTCGGCTCTTACCTGGATCGTCAGTCCTGGAAACCATACTACGAGCGCGAAGTTGGCACGATGGACCATGGAGCTGTCCAATCTGCTGTTTAAAGTACTAAAAAACCTGGGGCAGCGATGGGGCACTTTGACGGTCTATCTCGTCTGGAGGCGGAGCAAGTGAACGCGTTGCACGTGACCTACCTACTGAAGCCAGCGGAAGAGTACTTAGACGGTCAAGACTCAGTCGGGGGGCCGGTCGAAAATCCCGTTGAGCCTGAGTTAGCGACGGAACCGGAGTACCCAGGAATGAGAACGGGTACAGAAGAAAAGGAGGACGGTTCCGCCGAAGGGATTTAGAAATATCCTCTGGAAATTTTTCACTTAGACTTAGAGCAGTTCAAGAGTGAACAGCAAGCTGTGTCGTGGATGAAAGCGCTCGTGGTTTTTCTGTTGGATGGGGCTCTTCCGCGGGACCCTTTCCTACGAGCTCGCATAGTACGGATGGCGTCTCGGTATGTGGCGCAGGACGGTCTGATGCGTCGGTTTGTCAATTTTTCAGCGCGAGTCGGGCCGGCTCGTACGGTGGCGGTGCTAGTGGTACCTCCATCTTTTGTAGCGACGATCCTTCACTACCTTCACGCAGACATCCTTTCGTCTCATTTGGAATTGACTACAACGATGGAGAAGATTAGACGGTTGGCTTACCGGTCCGGCTGGCGTAAGGATGTAACCTAGTATTTGAGGGAATGCAACAAGTGTGGCAGTGGAAAGGTTCTCCACCATGGGGCGCAGGAGTAATGCAGCGAATACCGGTGGTCGAGCTGAGAGGACCGTTCGATTTGCTAGTCGTGGATTCTATCGGACCGTTACCAGTGACGGAGGGTGAATCCGGTATATTCTGGTGTTCGTGGACTACCCCACGAGGTGGGCCAAGGCATTCGCGGTGAAACGGCTAGACACTGTGACTTTTGTGGATGGTGATGGTGAATGGTGTCGTCGCCCGACACAGACTTCCGTCTCGACTGTTTAGTGACAACGGTTCGAGCTTTACGTCGGAAGTGGCCAAGACCTTTTATCAAGCACTCGGTATCCAGGATCTGTACTGTGCCGCGTATCAGCCGCAAACCCAAGGGCTTGTGGAGCGGTTAAACGATACTTTCATAGAGATGCTGAGGATGCACGTGAGCAAAGCTCAGAGCGATTAGGTTGCATACTTACAACGGGTGTTATTTGCCTACTGCACCGCCTACCATGAAGCGCTTAGAGACTCCCCTTTTTTCACCCTATAGTGACGTGACCCCGCGCTACCACTAGACGTAGCTTTTCTGAGCCTCGGAGCGAGGTAGAAGAGTAGCGAAGCGGCCTAGTATAGACGGGAACGGTACTGTTCGATCCGTGACTCTCGCCACTTAGTGGAGCGTCAGCTTTTAAAGGCTCAAGACAGACACGCTAGGCGAATGGAGGATCAAGTGGATGCGACGTACGAAGTGGGTGATCCCTTGTGGATGTACTAGATTTTCAGGGCACGGAGAGGTGAAACAAGGACGAAGAAGCTTTCACGTGGCACGGTCCTTACCGGATTTCTTGCAAAGTCAGGGAGAACGCTTACAAGGTGGCGATTCCCCCTCACCCCCGACCAGCTGATGACCGTGAATGTGAGCAGACCCAAGAAATATCGAAGTAAATGGACTCAACCGTTTCTGGATGAAGTACTGCCTGGCGCTGAGGAGACCGAAGACGGACGTAGTAATGGACCCCTGAATGAATACGACCTCCTGCTTTCTAGCTTTGTGGAACGGTTAACCGCTGGTCGAGAAGACACGGTCTATGTTGGAGTCGAAACGCCTTTACTGGAACTGGTGGCTAAAAGGATTATGAGCTGGACTGAGGAATATTTGGCTCTAGCTACGAGCTACGAGACCTTCTGGCTACAAAGAACGGTTTTGATACCGGCTTATGCCCGGTTAGTGATGTCTTACGAAGACGCTGAAAGGAAGAAGAAGGGCTTAATTGAGTTGCGAAGAAGTGCTCGATTGGCCGACGCTAATGCGGAAGCCGACGAGGACGTGTTACTTATGGTATAAGTGGAGTAGTGAAGTTTTCGAATCAGCAAAGAACGGTTACTCTGTGGAGATTAGAGTGGACACTCGGAAATAGGATGGTGGTGCGTGTTGGTGAGTATTTGTGTTTTGTTACGGAGGGAACGATCTGACGTACGGGAACGGAAAAGAGAAACTTGAGATCGTTCCTCTCAAAAATGGTAACCTCGTCACTTGGGAGTTTGAGCGCTCGGAGAATTCGACGATGGCTTTGAGGGCTTGCTCATCTTGTCGCCTGCGTTGGACGCCGCTCCGTTATCGGTAGAAGGGAATTTTCATCGGCCTCTTCGTCGTCGTCTTCGTCATCTTGGTCGTCTGCGTCTTCGTTGGTGTTTTCTTGGGCCTTTTCCTTGTCTTCTTCGTCGCCGTGGTGTTGCCAGGGTGGCCCTCTTCTTGATCCTGGTCTTCGTCGGCGGATGCGAGTCCCAAATAGTACGCTAGATGCTTAGTGGGCGATCTTGGAGGCTGATACTTGACAGGCGGGGACGGTTACAGGGCAGTGAGCTCTCCGTTTTTTTCGAGGTCGGAATCGTCTTCCCCTTGTTCGGAGGCGCTCATTGTGCACTATAACGGGTTTGCCTGCTGTTAGCAGCGTGGCGACTTCGACCTCAGTCATCCGAAGAGAACGGTCAGAGAGGATCTTTTTCCATGGACCACGGTTGCGATTGCCGACCCAGCTCATTTCGGAGGGTTGCTGCCTGAAACGTCCAGAGCAATACGAGCCAGGGCCTTGTCCGAAAGTCGCAGGTTCTTAGGGCGCGTAGGATCAATCGCTTGACTCTTTTCGAGGGGTTTCGGGATGGAGCGGTAGCCGCTGCTGTCCACTTAGAAGGGATCGAGGACGTTGGCGATAACTTGATCGTAAAGGCGGCGATGACGCTTGAACAGGACACCGAGGTCTTCTTGGGCGGGATATTTGGATTCGTCGTTGGCCCCGCTGGCGTGCTTGGAAGCCCTGCCTCCGAACCACATAAGGTTGTCGTGGAGTGTCTTCGAATGCCGTCAGCATCCCGTAGTAGCCCATCGCTTCGAGGAAGGCGCTCAATAATTGCAGACGAGCTTGGAGCGCGCTTGCCTTCAACTTGCAGCCGGCGGCAGCGTTGTCCGTCGGTGGATATAGTGCGAGGAGTAGGAACTGAAGTCGGAAGCGCATCCAGAAGCGTCAGTGTTTCCGATGAAGCTCGGGGTGGTGCTTGGGGTCTTACCAGACGTGGTAGCCCTTCCACGGGAAGGCCATACGTGGCGGCGTCTTTTCCTGTCCCTCGATATCTTTACGAGGCACTCCAGGTCGCCCTCGATGGTGGCGTCTACGCCGGTGGGGGGATCAAACGAGAAGCGAAGCTAGGCTTTTGCTTTCTCGGAAGTGCGCTGTTTCTTAGCTGGGGGAGGTTTGAGGGGTGTTCGCGAGCTGGATCGTTTGGAGCGAGTTTCGGTGACCGATACCTGGAAGACGGAGTGTTCTCGGACCTAGCCGGCTGACAAGCTCTCTGGGGAAGGTAAGATGACGACAGCGCTCTTCAAAGGGGCCTGCGAAGTGTCGTCAACTAGGAGCCGATGGACCAGGTGGTGAGGGGCGTCGAGCCCGATGGGGTGACTGTTGGCCGCTAGGACGGCTCTGAGGCGGCTCCAAACCCCATCATGAAGTGAAGATGGGTGGCGTCGTCCGCTTCCCTGTATCCGTCGTCGAGGCGGGTGCAGATTTGGTCTTCGACCGTCGGAGTCGTTCCTGACTTCCTCGACGACTTGATCATGGCGGCGTGAGGGCTTTAGTGCTACTTGCGAAATGACTTTTAATAAGTCTACATCCTGTGACGCGACAGGACGTTGCGGTAATGATGGCGAACATCGCGTTCAGCGACAATAAGCCATCGTTTTTATGGCGATGTGATGTGACTTGACCTAGGGACGGTCACTTGGCTGGTGCACAGCCAAGTAATTTGGACTGACGGTTAGTGACTATGGAGAACGGATGGACCGTGGGTGTGATGGATTCATTCCTCGATTGTCAAGATTGGCGATGAAATACGCGAGAGATGGTGTGGTGTGGAGTCGAGACGCTGTCGTGTCAACGTTTAGTTTTGGAGTGGGACTGGTCATCAGGCATGCGTGGGTGTCGGTCGCTCAGGCGAGTGGTATCTTGGCTTGGACCGTCACCGAACCTCTCAGAAGTATGGTGCTTCGACTTTTCACTTCAGGTAGTTATTTCGTATACAAGTGGGCTAAGATGTTAAGACTTTGCATTTTGTTCTATCGCAGCTAGGCGCGCAGTCCTGCTGTACAAGACCAGCTCTGGAAGCCGAAATGGTGGAGGACCTATGCGTCCGTACTGGCTACTCCAATGGTGGTGCTCGCTGCGCGGAAAGAGCACTTAGACGGTCTGGGGCGTCTATTGTACAAGTGGTTGGACGCCTTACATGCGTACAGGTGCGTGTTCTTACCTGAGGCGGTGGCATTGGCGTGGAAGATGACAGTGAAGTATTGGTACGGTTCTGGTGTTGAGCTCCAAAGAGCGTGGGCTCGAGCATGGCTCCTTGTGCGTGTCTGGTGGACAGTGGTGACGCTGATTGTCTACGCTACTTTCTACGGAGTGCTGTTCCTGTACGAGATCGTAGAAGGTGTTTGGCTAGGGTGTGGTTTTAACGGTGACGATAAATTACAAGTCTGCGAGTAATGAGGGCGTCGTGGCGTTTGGTGGGGTCGTCGTCAACTGTACGGCTGTACTACTCGACGGGTGCGTACTGGTGCTAGGCGTGGTTTGCCATGTGTGGTGTATACGTCGGAAGGACGTTCGCCGCTGGCTGTGGCCCAGGACTGCTACGACGGTTGGATCCGTGATATGGATGAACGAGAGCAAGCTGACCGTCTTAGCGAAGCATTTTGGCGAGCGGATGGGAGCTCTACGGAGCCCCTCGTCCGCAAGTACGCACGTTGAGTGGAATACAACCTGAACGACGCGCTTTACGAGCTAAGATGAAGTGTAACGGGGTTACATGGTGTGGAACACACAGGGGTACGAAGTATTCGGAGAGTTAACAAACTCTCAGTACATAAGTTGGAGAGTTAACAAGGTCTCTCAGTACGTTGGCTGAAAGCCACACGTTATGCATTAGATTAGGTTTAACTATGCTAGAATGTTAAAGAGATACATTTACCCCTATCCGGCTTGGCCGCAATAATAGTAAATAAAACACTTCTGGTTTTGAAGCATAAAAGTTAAGGTATTAACTTTGATCCCTGGCCTTGGGCTGTAAGTGTCCTATGGATAAGGAGGTTACTTTTTGAGTCGAACGTCTTCCTCTGACGCTAAAGCTACGGCATCCCTGCTGCACTTGGTAGCACTTGTAGTCAATCCCGCTCCTGAGTCGGTTGACTATATCCTCTGCGAGGATGGAACACCCCGTGTTCGTGAATTTGCCCCCGGCGCAGCAGGACACGCTTACTAAGCTTATGTCCTTGCTTGGCCCGGAGGGCGTGGCTCATCTTGCATCGCAAAGTCCAGAGGCGGTCACCGCCGGGCTGGAATCGCTCTCGATGACCCGGAGGGTTGGCTCGCCGGAGCCACACGCGTCTTGTGCAGAGGGCAATAAGCCCTCAAGTGCTTAGTGCTATTGCACACAAAGCATCGGCAGATGCCGGCACGCTGCTCCGCAGCAAGAAGCTCCGCTTCTTCATCTTTAGCGTAGCTAAGGTCCATCGGCTCTGGACCGCTCGAAGAGCTTGCCCTACCAGCGCTCCAACCAGGTAGCGCCCCGCTACGAGAACGCGCTCTTGGAGCACGTCCAGGAGAAGATGAGCGCCGCAACGGCGGCGGCGTCGATGACGCGTGAAGAGTCTATGAGACTGAAACCGCTCATGGTGAGGGTAAAAACCTTCGAGGGAAGGATGGAGAGAATCTCCTTCTCTGGACCCGTGAGGTCGAGATGGCCATGCGATCGGCCTTGCTCCAATCTGAGCGTCAGCGCGTGCTCTGGCTTATCTCCAGGCTTGGAGGTCGCGCTCGCGAATGGGCACTAACGTGCGGCACGTCTGTTGACGCTGCATTT